AGTCAGAAGGCAAATGACACTGAGCTTCCGGCGGGTGCACACCTAACCGGCGAAGTGCTCATCAGGCATTTGAAGATCTCAACAAGCAGAGTGCTGCGAAGGGCAACCTGAGCAGGAAAGAGGACTGGTCTTTGTCGAAAGGCGGACAGCGCTGAGAGCGATCAATCGGAAATTCTTGCCAGCGGAAATTCTTGCCAGGAAAATCGGGCTGGAAACGATACGACCGAATATTACGCGCTTAGAGCATGGAGTCGTACATTATATAACTGAGCTAAGGCTTGAGCATCGGGACCGCAAGAGGCGACGCAGGTGAAGATCCTGAGCGGACAAAACAGCTAACCAGTGCGTCGGCAGCAGCTCCACTGATTCACTTCCCATGACCATCATCCTGACGCATGGAGTACACCGTCCAGTTCAGCCTCAGTATACAGGGTGGGGGATCCCGAAGGCCCACTGAACAGCAGCCCCGGGTTCGGCCTCGATGTGTAGCAAAACGGCTTCCGCGCTCTTCTTGAGCTGATAGCCGGTGGCTTCCGCTTCAAAGCCGTCAAGGCTTGGTGGCGATCACGCCATCAAAGAGGCTGACCGACCACCCGCTTTCGATGCTCAGAAACGAGGCGAAAGCTCTCACGAAACTCTTCCCCAGCCCGCAGGCCAAAAAGCGTTCGCAATGGATTCGAAAGCGTCACACAAAGGATTGGGATAAACCTGAGCGAACTTCGTGTGAGGCTCCTCTTCGGGAACTTGGGCATCGATGGAGGGTTGGCTTGAGAATTCTCCTCATCGACCCTTGTCCAAGATGTCGAGGACAAGCTGTCGTCCCATCGAGCTTATGCATTCCACCTTTGCCGTTCGAAAGCCGCACGGAACCTGCCACTTGCACCCGCCATCGAGCACTGCCCAGGCCCAACACAACAGGGGAAACAAGCCAAGAAGACCTGGTATATAGTGCTCGAGCGGCGACTAGTCGCCAAAATGGCAATGTAGGAAAACAAGTGATCGAACAATCAAGACTGAAGCTGAACAGCCTTCCCTCGAAACATGAAACCATCACACTGTACAACACCATTCGCATGCGTTCAAAAACTTGCATTTGGTGCTGTACCCCGAAAATTCCTGAACGATTCGAAGGTTGATCACCAGCCCTCTCGCATCTAACGGTTTTGTGTGCTTCTAGGTGTTTCTCTGTTTCGCTCATGGTAACAATCCGTCTCAAACGGAAGTTCCGCTAAGTTGCCAGATCGGCGAGTCCCCCAGGATCTTGTCGCAGTAGTGCTTGGTCCATTCATGTCGCGAGGCTAAGACCTGGTCCAGGCCGATGGACAAAGGATCATTGCACGGCCTGGTGTTTTCACCATGGCACGGCCGATTGGCGGCCGTTTGGCGGCCGGACGCTCTTTTGAACAAAGGACACCTTACCATGCGTCATTGAAGGGCCTAAAAAAGGGTGTTGGACCTGGCATTCTTAGCTTTGAGGCCGAAAAAAATGCACAACGACCCATGTGGCGCCGTGGCGCCACACGCGGTTCACCGCTTCAACCGGACAGGTCACCGCTAGTTGCGGCGGTCCGGATCAGTCACATCCCATTGTGGTCGTTTGGCCCATGGGTTTCACCGAACGAACTAGTGTGTTTTTCTCAGAAATCCCTTTAACAAGCGTCTAAGAGTACAACTTTTTTTTGGACAGTCAAGAAACGGAAAGGCTCAAAGAATGCAACAGATGTCAAGAGAAAGAACATGCCCAAGCTCTAGCCTCTCTAGAAGTCATCACCCTTCAATGAAGACGATCTCCAAGTCTTAATTCAAGTCTTCTTTTTCGGCGCTTCCGTCCCTCCCGGGCGCGTCGCAAAGAAAAATGCTGCCGACTGCTAGAGCCCGTGGTCGTGCGCCTGACTCACGGCTGTCCATGCTGGAGGCCAACTGAGCAGCTGCTCCACCACCACATGCAAATCCAGCAAAAACCTTGGCTGGTTTGGTTTCGACGAATCATGTTCCTCCGTGGGTTCAATCATCCCAAGTGGTTCAAACATAGACTTCTCCGAACCCCCCCGTCGGAAGAGAGCGACCGCGGCGCACCGTGAGGGGGTCGCTGGATTCGGTCGTAAAAACCTTCTCCCCGAGATGCTCTTCTGATCTTCGGTTCTTCAAATTGGAAGACCCAACAAGAAGGAAAACACGGAGACATGCCAAAGAGCATTTCGCTGGTGAAGTCGGCGCCATTCTCCGCAGCTTTGCTCAGGCCTGGCGAAAAAGCCCTTGTTGTACCACAGGCCTGGTTGTTTGGTTGGTGACGTTTGGACTCTTGCGGTTGTTTGGTAAAGACCATCATTGAAACTTTGAAACCACTGCTTGTTGGAAATCCAGGAGAAAGTAAGTCAATCATCAAAGGACCGGGGAGGTGTATCTCAGGTTGGATGGGCGAAGAATATTCGGGCGTGTTTCGAATAACGAGACATCATCCTTCAGGGGCCTCTCATCCCAACACCCAGCGTGCTGCTTCCATTTTGTTACCGTTTTCCAGTATTCGCCCCATTGGGTTTTCCAGTATTCTTCTTTCTTAACTGTGTGGATGCGGGCACCAAAAGTTCCGTGGAACCCGCTCGACTCTACTACCCATCGGCGATCCAAACATGGAGTCCAACGGGATTCATTGCTCCAGTGCTGAGGACTTGGCGCCCCAAGACACACCCGAAAGTTCGAAAGAAGACTGCGCCTTCGAGCAACTCTTTGATGTCGGGATAGCAAAAGACCGAAGGTTGTCCACGGTTCATTTCACAGGCCTCGCACGTGAACGTTCGATCCGGGAGCGGAACAGTTCGCTCGTTCGTGGGACGTTGTAGGCTTTCACCCAAACGGCTTGACGACGGGCTGCGGCTGAGGTGGCTCCCAACTGAGGATCCATTTTCCTGACGATCGGCTCGTCCAAAAGAAACCTCCACAAACCGGCTCGCCGGACGGGTGTGATGCATCTTCATGGGTTGGGCGTGAGGCCATGCGCCTTTTTCTGAAAAGCAGTCTGCTCTGGAGAACCCTACAACCCTACAACAGCCTGGATCTTGACCTGGTCCAGCAAAAATTGGTTTTTGTATGATGTGTTCAATGGATCCTCTCATGTCATCCTCCGAGTGATGGCACTTCTTCCTCGTCCACCTCCAATGGCTTTCCGGATCAGATCCAATCGTGTCCATTTGTTGCACCCTACTGCCGCCATCTCTGCGCGCGCGCAAAAACGCGCAAAACGCCAGCGCCCAGCAGTGGCAGCTTCTAGGAAGCCCGGCCTCCTGGAAGACCTTCTCAGTGGTCTTCCGCCAGGGAGGCCCCCGCCGCGCAAAGCCGCCGCCCATCCCCGGAATACCTGGGGAACGTGCGCAGCGTCGACCAAGCGACCACGGTGCCAGTGCTCCCGAGGTTTGGTGCACCCAGATTGCTTGGGTTTGGAAAGCTGGAAAGCTCACTCAAAGACTTCTCGGGTGTACGGTACGGGAACCTGAAACAGACCTCAACACCATGTACGTCGCTCTTTGAAGAAAGTCAGCTAGCTTCGTAAGTCTTCTCTTCTCGTTGCCACACGTGTGGTGCTCACCTGAAGGCATCTTCGGCATCTGATGTGGTGCCGCCCACACGGAGGAGAGAAACACACCAAAGCGGAGAAGGACCGCCATGGCGCCGGAGGTCGTCGCAGCGAATCCTTGCAAAATCGGTGAACCCACATGTACGTGACAAATCCTTGAGGTCTGCGTCCGACAGGATGTGGGACCTGGGATCCTTCAAGAGAGCCTTCTTTCAATCGGCGTTGGGTCCCACAGCGCTTGTGACAGATGGAAGCTAAGCTGTGGATTCAGGATGATTCAGGTAGCATTGAGGGTTCAGTGGGTGCATACTCCAACGTTGACTGTGTTAATTTGGCCCACAGTCGATGGGCAGTTGAACCCCAACCATATGAGTCTCGAATCGGGATGGCTTGACGCTATACTTGACGCTAAAGCAGAAGGAGTTCCTTTTGCCCTGTCCTGCCTATGATTGAACCATTAACTAGCTTCAATTTGATCCTTTTGAACGGACAGAGCCACACAACAGAACTTGGCTGCTCAAATCAGTGAATGCGTCATCTATATTACTATTCAAAGCGCATGGAAGATCATCAGCCTGATCTCCATTTGCTACAGTCCCCATGTTGCAATTCGATGCACATGCCACGCTTCACCCGCCTTGTCTTCATCAAATTCCCTCAGTGTGACTTCCGGTGGTGCGAGTGGGGGATTTTCGTCCGGGCCGTTTCTGTGGCCACGCCGGCGCTGGGAGCGTTTTTGTTTGTGAGCGAAACACACCGAGCACCGAGGCCATCCTAGGGCCTGGTTTTTGGCCCCTGATCAACTGACTCTTTATTGTTTCGTGGGCATTCACAAATGAAGGTATCTGGTTAAAAGGATTCCCAAGACCGATGGCCCAGCCGGTTCTGCAAAAACACTCAGAGTGCCACGTCTTCTTCAAGGGGTCCAAGACCTGCGATCGGGGTCGCAGCGGTCAGGCAGGGGGTCATGGCGACAACACCGGTCATGCCCATGGTAGACTCTTATTTCAACTCCAGGTATCAAGAGGTTTGTCAATCCATGTCTGGATGGGTTTGATTCATCAAGAGTCTAGAGCACTTGCTAAAGCGTCCCACAACAAATGGGCCGACGGTTTCAATCCACCCTTTGAAGCCCCTGTAGTTGAAGGGAAGTCTCCTGAAGCGATGACGGTGTGCTACTTGGCAGACGGCAATGTACCAAGAGTTGCTCGCAGTCTTCACCCCAGGTCTTTCCACAGGTTTGCCCCCACAGACGCATGCAAGAAACCGTCTCTGCTGTCTTTATTAATTATGCTGCTGAAAATCAGGTGTTTGCAGCCAACAAGACGAGGCAAGTACTCAGCATCTCCACACTGCTCTCGCGACTGCTCTCGCGACCGCTCTTCAGCTACTGCTCGTCCGAAAAGGCCGAAAACCTCCCAGCGGTCACCGTGTGTTCTTTGCTCCGCGGCCGAAACGGGCCGAAACTGCCTCGTCGTTGATGCTGCTGAGCTCGGCGAAGCCCTTCGGAGCCCCCCCAGAGGTCCTGTCGGCGGTCGTCGAGGCATCGGCCAGGAAACGAAGAGACCTTTGCTTCCGTTGGAGCGGCGGAGCCGGGGGTTGGGAACTTCAGACCGAAGTTTTAGGTCGTCGAGACAGTTGTAGGTTTTGAGGCGCTGAGAGATGTGGTTAAACCATCATAGGTGGTTTCCGCATGTTTCGGCAGAAGAACCATGAAGAACCCCTCGAGGTTGTAAACCTCACAAGGAATTCTGGAATGTCTCCTGTCCTCGTGTGCGCTAGATCCCAGATTCCCTGCTGGGTCTCTATCCCAGATAGGGTTCACTTGCGGAAGCGAGCACAGGAAGCCCCTGTCAGTCCCAAGTCTCCGAAAACCCCGGGCAGCTGGAGCTGTTCTGATTGAGGGCCCAAGCGAGTAGTTTCGCCATTTTTGCGGGGTACCCGGTGACCATGAACCCCCAGCTCCTCCACAAAAGTATGCAAAAGTGGAGATGCGAAACACCGCACCACGCATCCAGCGTTTGGGGGACATCCAAACGGAAAAGAAGGAGCTTGTGTCTCTCAATGTGTTTCCAGTCCAAAAGACCCCAAAGTTGGGTAAAATGGAAACCACTTCACCAAGGTGGCAGGCTGGACCAAACACACCCGGAAGCTGGACCATCCAACGAAAACGCGGGACCGTTGCGACCCGTGAGAATGGACTTTTCCAGGTGCTCCCCAGAGTGTACGCTTCGTTGACCAAAACGTTCACCGAATGAATGCTTCTCAACGAAAGTGGCGCTTCTCAGCGAAGACGCACCGAACATCTCCCAAAGCGGCACCTGATGTCAGGTGAATGGCACATGATCCACGCCTGCTACTTGCTCCAAGGCCATATGAGTATAGGATCAAATCAACCTCCTCTGCCTGGTGCTGATGGCGCCGCCTATGTAACCCAACGTGCTTGCGATCTAGTCAGCGGGTCAACAAGCTTGCACCGAAAGGCTCAACGCTTCCTGCTCATCCTCCGGCACGTCCAAGTTCAGATCATCATCATACTGGCGAACACCCGCCTCTCAGCAGGCTGGGCTGGGACTGGCTGGACTTCCACGTGTGGGAATGATGTGGAAGAATCCAACACCCAATGTAGACTGTTGATAAATCAACCCCCCATTTTGGGGTGCAAAAACCTCTTCAACTCTTCATATGGGTGGTTGAAATCGTCTGGTCTACAGAGTCAGAACCCTGACACCGAACCTTTCTGGGCTTTCCTCCCGTCAAGACTAAGGACTCGGAAAGCATGTCGAAAACCGGATTCCTTCGGCTTTTCTGCCTGAGGTCTGTAAATGGATTCACTCTTTCTTCTCACCAATTGCCTTGCAAGTCTGCCAAAAGTATGCCAAGTAGATCTAAGTAGCAGATTCTGCTGCATGGTTTCTTCCACATGAGTGAAAGATTCTTTCAAAGCTGTTCCTGGGGTGCCGGGCCTGGGTACCTACCAGATCCTACCAGGCCACCAAAGGTTTCTCCAGAAACCGGCCAAAAAACACCACCCTCACTACCGCTCCTTCCAGCTCCAAAACCGCCTCAGCCGCGCCCACCCGTGGCGCCTCGAAGAGGGCCTGGTTGTTCTCCTCAGGCGTCGGCTCCAGCTTGAAGGGATCCTCGGCGACGCGTCGCGACTTTGGTTCACCGGTCGTGACCGGAGGGCCGGGCGGCCGAGAGACCGTGGAGTCACTGCCGATGGCTGTCCAAAAAGGGGAGTCAACGGTAGTTCTGTGCTCAAGATTGGCCAGATCTGATGTGCTCCAATAGATTCTTCTTTCGTCACCGAAAGGAAGCGATCCACCCACTCTTCACCGGCCGATTCCCCGCGGTGAAACTCCACCGGATCGGCCTCATTCATCGTCAGAGTCCGCTCTAGGTCTCGTTGTGCCTGAAGCTGAGCAGGTCGGCCCTGGAGCCCTGGTCGATCAGGCAGGAGGGTTTTGGACCTAAAACCGTACGCCATACGTAGATATTATAGATATACGCATGTATACGCATCATCAAGAATTGGAAAAGCCTCAAAGAAAACTTTGAGGTGTCCAAGAGATAAGGCTCAACGCAGCAACTCAAGGAATAGTTGGATGTCTTCACGGCTGTTACTCAAAATTCTTATTCTCCTGGTTCCACCATATCTTTGGAGCCCATGTTCAACTATGCAGAGAAGAAGGTATCACTTGTGGAAGTCAGACTCTTACTCCCTGCCACCCTCTAGCCTGACTCATTAAACCAGGGCGCAAGGCAGCCATTGTTGTTCATTCCACGCTTCGAACCCATGTGAACCTTTTGAAGGCAGGTGTAGCATGGCTGATCACCTGCTTCCCGCTTTCCAGCGGAAAATCACCAAATCGATCAACACCGGCTTCGCTGAGCCATCACCCATGTCTCAAGTGTCTCACTTCAGAACACCCATGAAAACCAGTGACGCTCCTTGGCGACTAGAAACTGGTCTTCTCCGCTTCGAAGACACTGAGGGTACCCGACTTCCTGTGCTCCACAGCACCAACGATCCAATTTATGGGTTTCCCCTGACACCTCATCTGCCGGGCCTGGGAGATGTCCGCTTCCTCTTGTGTTTGCACTTGTGTCTCCAATGGAGGAGTGGTGATCTCCTCCCCAGGAGGACCTGCCAGGCTGTCCATGTGAAGGAGAAAGCGTCATCTCAGTTCGGTCGTTACGTATGTTCACATCACCTTCTGCGGGGAAAAGCCACCATGTCGACAACCCATGATATTGCAACCCTCTAGGAAAATAACTATCAGGTCATGTAAATGTAGGATCAAGAAAAAAGTGAGTCTGAGTTATATATATATATGTGTATATATATGATCCACCAAACATGGGGGAATGCCTGCTTCAAAAAAAAAGATAACACCAATAGGCCTAATTCTATGAAACTCAAAACCCTCTAAATCCGCTGGCCACTGGTGCTTATATAATCGAAAGGAGTTTCATGTTGAAGGAACTTTGCGACCAACTGGGTCCCCACCTTCTTCGGGTGGCGGCAGCGGTGGTTCGTCGGGCTCCAGCACTGCCTGGACCTGCCGGGACTGTGAAATCGGAAGAATTCTTCCGAAAAAGGACCGTCCAAACCCTGAAAAGGACCGTTCAAAATAGAACCTCAGCGCTAAATACATGGGATGCTCGACACCGTGTCAGGGCGGCGAAACATGGGATGCCCGACACACCGTGTGGGATTCTCGGGCTTCCCACCTAGGACCTGGTCAACATCTGCGAATTCGAGGGACCAGGTCCTTGCCAGACAGGTCAACCTACTTCTTGGGACCAAGCAATCCATTCTCCAGGAGTCGATGGCACATCACTTTGGGACCACTGGGCATGACGGCCCGGCCCTCTCACCACACGTCCCGTGGTGGATTTGCGTGAGACGGCGGCGCGAGGACTTCGTCCACCGCAGCGGGCCATGCGACATGATCCGACAAAAAGAAAGGCCACCCTGATGCAGGTTCCCTGGACGTCCAGCACAGACTTTGGTTTCAGGTACAAAAGTCACGGACAATCTTCGTGCCTCGGAAAAATCCGTGGCAAACTCCGCCTTCAATTTGGCCTGCCAGGGTGCGACAACGCCATGGTTCATTGTGTACGAAAATATTTCACTCTGGATTGGGGTACGTATTGGGTTTTGAAGCATTGCATACATGGTTTGGGGGCAAAGATATTCAGTTGTTCAGTTTCGGCCTCTTCAGAGTCCGACATGGCCACCAAAAGGGAGGACTTAAGGAAAGCAATGTTGAAGAACATGGATTTTTGATTGACGGGTGCTTCCAGGCTCTTGTCCATGAACAGGATGTGCTGTTAGGACTTCTAAGTTTGGTGCCACTTGTTTCCTGGCAGCTCCAGGACTTCGTGCCAAAGTATGTCACAAGCGACAGACTTGTTCCCGACCTTTAGACAATAGTTTTGGCGAAACCTCAAACGGAAGCGGATGCACTTATTCGTGTTAGCATTAGCATACTCATGGGAACCAAGTCGACCATACTCGCGGGTGCACCTGTAGCGGGTGGTCTCGCTTCAGCTGTCCAAGGAGAGCCTTGGCGAACATATGGACCACCCGATCCCCATGTTGAATCCATTGGCCACCAACCACTACTTGTCGACTGCGCAGGTCGGTCTTCATTCTCCTGCTACTCTTCAATCTCTATTTCGATCTACCTCTCTCTTTGCTTCAACCTCTTTATCTCCTTCCCCGTGATTTCATCTACAGCACATATCTTTACATCTGCACCCGTGTCTACTTTCTTTACTTTCGTTCTCCTTATTTCTCCTTCATTTTTCTTCGCTTGCGCTGCTCTGAATGCTCACCGACCGTGTCAGAAAAAGGAACCGTGGAAAACGTCATAGAGACTGCAAATCCGTTGGCGCTCAGCCATTGGGAGTCTCTGAAGACCTCTGAAGCGTGTGTGTGTGTGTCACACTCTGTTTCAAAGAGTTTTCCACAAGCAGGGGGGCAGAGAGGACTTGCAAGGCTCTGCCCAACGAAGCTCCTTGCAAGATCCTAGGAAGTGGAAGCTGATCACTTCCGTGTACCTGCACCTTTTGAACTTTTGTCCAAGCCGTGACTCTACTTCTCCATTTTTTGTTTCATGGTTCTTGCGTGATACTTCCCCCCAAACCCGTTTCCCACCGCCGCCTTCAGCCGCTTGTGAGCTGTCTTTGAGATTCTGCAAATGCGCGTAAACCATTTTTTGAAACACCTTCAAGTGCTTGGACGCCTCACCTTTCCATTGAGCCATTCTTTTCCTCGGGGAATTGATGTAACTGCAAGCCCATTGTCTAAGTGTGTGCGAGTATCGTCTAACTGATTAACTTTTTCTGCACGCGTGGAATTATCTTAACTGACTTTCGTCTCACTCACTGTATTCTCAAAATCAAAACCGCCGACCCCAATCCCCCCCTCCCTCTGATTAGGGTAACAGAGGGAAATGGTACTCGACACACTTGTGCGTCGGTGCCTTTCCCTCTGTTGTCCCTTTTCTAGTCTACTCTACCCGGGCAGTGTAAGACTAAAGTCCCGCTCCCTAACTATTGCACCTAATTCACTTCGGCTAAGTAGTCAGTAACTCTAGGTATTCACACACACACACACGGACACACACATGTACATACACCTCCCTCCCCCCACTTTCTTTCTTGCGCTTTTTGTCGTTTCTTGGGCTTTCTCTCAGGCTTTTTAGGTTGTTCTTGAGGCGCGTTTCCCTACCCCAGTAAAGGGCTAAGTAGTCACTTTTTGCTACCCCTATCTTTCTCTCTTGCCCTTTTAGCGCTGCTCTTTCTGGTTTTCTTTCTCTTGTTTCTAAGGCTTTTTAGGTGCCTATTTAGGTCCTCCGCGAGAGCGCCGCAAAGCGGCCGAGTGTGTGTGTGTGTGTCACACTCTGTTTCAAAGAGTTTTCCACATGCAGGGGGGCAGAGAGGACTTGCAAGGCTCTGCCCAACGAAGCTCCTTGCAAGATCCTAGGAAGCGGAAGCTGATCACTTCCGTGTACCTGCACCTTTTGAACTTTTGTCCAAGCCGTGACTCTACTTCTCCATTTTTTGTTTCACGGTTCTTGCGTGATACTTCCCCCAAACCCGTTTCCCACCGCCGCCTTCAGCCGCTCCTGCAGATGCGCGTAAACCATTTTTTGAAACACCTTCAAGTGCTTAGTGCTTGGACGCCTCACCTTTCCGTTGAGCCATTCCTTTCCTCGGGGAATTGAAGTAACTGCAAGCCCATTGTCCAAGTGTGTGCCGCTGTGTCGTCCCACTGGGTGCACAGTGCGATCCTCTCGCAAGAGAGGCGCCGAGACCATCGTGGATCACATGTTGATTCAGCGTTTTCTGCACGCGTTGGATTATGGTTCTGGAATCCACTTTGTTCCACCCATGACTCAACCGATCGCAAAGCGGCCGCGATTACGTACAGAATGCCGCCGGACTTACGGAGAATGAATTTTCACCCCTCTTCTCTCTCTCTCTCTCTCTCTCTCTCTCTCCCTCCCCCCCTCTCATTGGGGTAACAG